TTCTCTCCCATGGTTCTGGAGGCAAGAAGTTAGAGATCAGGCACTAGTTAGTTTGGCTCCAGGTGTGGATTCTCTTCCTGGTTCAGAGATGGAGCCTTCTTGCTGCTTCCACATGTGGTTTGTTGCAGAGAGACAGATCATCTCCACAGCAGCCTTTCTTACAAAGGCGCTAATCCTATTCAAGAGGACTCTACTCACGTGACCTAATCCCTTCCCAAGGCCTCACTTCCTAATACCATCACATTCAGCATTAGGAAGGATCTCAACCTATGAGTGGGGGATGGAGACACATTCGGTTCATAGCAGTTGTCCCAACTCGTTGCTGGGGGAAATTTAATCTCTATGCCACTCCCTAGGAGAGGATTCTTGAAGCTCACACCAGGTTTCCCCTGGACTTGTTACCCTGTGTGCCTTTTCCTTGTGCTGATTTTGTTTTGTATCATTCTGTATAAGTCATCATCATGAGTGCTACATCCTGGGGCTAGATCCTGGGGCTTCCTATTGAATCATTGAACCTAGGGATGGGTAGGGACTCAGAGTTCATTTGAGAGCTGTGTGCTGTTGATAGTCATTTGTGAATAACAAGGCTCAGCACCAGGGCATTGCAGAAGAGATCTGGTGGTAGCACATAAACATTTTTCTCAGTATGACGTTTAGAATACTCGCTTCAAGTCATCCTAAGAATGGTCATGGGCTTTCTACCTGTTTTTAAATTTAAAGGTGAAATCTTTAGTTTTGTTCAATTTTGTTATGATTTTAAAGAAAAGCTCTAAATCTCTGATGATTAGCACCATGGTCAGCTTAATAGATGTTGAATTTAATTGAGGAGGCCTCCAACAGCACTTAAAGACTCTATTCTTCCCTAAACCTGTTCCAGTCCCGCCTGCCTGCAGTATCTACTCCCCACATACCCCATTCTCTAACGCACATACTCTGAACTATGTAAGAGCTATTATTGTATATGTCCAAATATGGACATCTACTTATGTATCCTACTTTTCGCAAAGTATGAAGAAATGTATTCTTCAGGTGTTTGTGTAGTGCTAAGTACTATTGTTAACTCTTAGGAAAATTGATGTGTAGATGGAATCAAATTTAATAATAAGTATCACTATTTATCATACGGCAGAGTCTGAATCTAAACTCAAATTTATGTATAGAAACAGCCTTAAAGAAAGTTAAAAGGCAAAGTATGCATATGCTAAATGAATTGATCACGCTGTCTGAAAAAAAAGTTAAAATATTAAAGAATATTCTACATCTTTGGCACCATAAATCTCCTTTTCTACCTTTCACATTACACAATTAGTTTTGTTTTTTTGTTTGTTTGTTTTTTGAGAAAGAATATTACTCTGTCACTCAGGCTAGACTGCAGTGCAGTGGCACAGTCATGGCTCACTGTAGCCTCAACCTCTGGGCTGAGGTGATCCTTCCACCACTGCCTTGAGTAGCTGGGACCAGGCCACCATGCCTGGCTGGTATTTTTGCATTTTTTTTGTAGAAATGGGGTTTCACCATGTTATCCAGGCTGGTCTCAAACTCCTGGGTTCAAGTGATCCACCTGCTTTGGCCTCCCAAAGTACTGGGATTACAAGCATGAGCGACTGCACACCCTGCTCCACAGTGAGTTTTAAATTAATTTTTCCTTTTTTCTTGAAGATGCCTCCATACCAATGCGAATATTAGTGGCTGCAGCTGGCTGCCTCTTAAACACTAGGGTAGATTCTACTGTTACTTAAATTTTATGATGCTTCAAGCCATGGTTCATAGTTTCAGAAAGCTACAACTTCATGAGACTGCAAAACAAGATGGAGAAATCATTGTCGCTGAATCTCTATCAGATAGGCAAAGATCAGGAAGAACTGTACAGAAAACTCAGGACAAACACCCACTCTCTTAGCATCTATTGGCTTTCAATTTGGACTGCCATGAGCTAACTGACAAATTCCTCTGCTTCTGAAGCTGAAAAGTTATGTTTAAATATAGAGTACTTATATAAGAAAATACTAAAAGTGTACCTATTTACATATATTGAAAGCATAACTATTTGCATAGTCTTATGACAAAATCTATATTGTATCTTTAGCAGATAACATCATTTAAGATATAACAGTTAACTAGCAGCAGGGGTAAAATTTCTCTCTAGAGAAACAATCAGATTCACACATTTGATATCTCTTTGAGTGCAAGAGGATAGCAAGGATGTGTAGGGAAACTCCCTAGGGTTACTTGGATTTGGTAGCAGTTTAAATCTAGATTAGCTGTCAACATACAGAATGTCTTGCTACCTATGAGACAACTTAGGAATTCCTCAGCAGTTCTCAAAGAATGTGTGTGTTAGAACAATCTGGTCCTTAAAGCCTGGAGAGTAGACCAGCACTGGTCCAGGAACATGTGTTACTGGTCTACAACTAGATTAATGTAGAAATTGGAAGTATTTAGACACCTGATAGCAATTTCACATAGGCATGGCATCCAAACAGGTGATCATTTTTCTCGTAATTGCTCATTATGGTATTTTACGAAAGTTTCGGTCTGTGGTAGGTGGGAATTTGTTTCTAAATGTCCTGTCACCTAAACAGAATGCCTGTTAAAAATTCAGATTCCTGGACCCCAACACAAACCAATGGATCCTGAATTTCTGGAAATGAATACAAGTCCCAGGAACCTGCATTTGACCAAGCTGCCTGTGTCATTATTTTTCATGCTGAACTTTGAGGACTACTGCTTTATGGGGAGGACCAACTGCTTGGCTGACATACTCCCTTAAGTATAAGATTGGCTTTTGAAAACCATCCAGTTTAAGAACCAGAGTTGCAAAAGTCACAGCTCCAACACAGTTGACTCCAGTCCTTATGGATACCATTGTATTATTAGCTTATATGAAGTGTCCAGTAGCAAAGACCTGTGGTTTCTGGGTACACTTCCACTGCTAGGTCATACAATGACTTTGTACAAAAGACACCCTTGAAGCCATGCCCCTGTCATGTGCAGGGAAAGTGTTGTAATAAATATATTGATTAATAATGCCCATGATGAAGTCCACCCCCTTCAACATGGCTCCTTGTGCAGAGCTGGCAGAGCAGATGTCATGCTCAGGTGAAGGGGAGCCCCCAGGGCTGGGCAATGTGCAGCAACTTGGTCTGTAGCCCCTACTTACAAAACTTGAAGCTGTCCTCAGACACAGGCTCTGGGAAAACTTCAGCCCTCAGAGAACATTCACACCAGAGCATGTCTTGTTTGTTTAGGTTTGTGGGGTTTTTGTTTTGTTTTGTTTTGTTTTGAGACAATCTTACTCTGTCGCCCAGGCTGGAGTGCAGTGGCGCAATCTCAGCTGACTTCAACCTCTGCCTTCCAGGTTCAAGTGATTCTCCTGCCTCAGCTTCCCAGGTAGCTAGGATTACAGGCACATGCCACCCCAGCTAATTTTTTGTATTTTTAGTAGAAACATGATTTCACCATGCAGGCAAGTGACTAGAAATAAAAGAATTTAATTCTCCATGGGCAGATAGCTTTCTCATTCACCATGTGAATTCCTTGTATACGATTTTATACAGGGGAGAAAAAATGTTTGAGAGCAGTCATTACTAATCAGAAGGTAGATTTTTGATCACCTGCATTGTATGTTTCTGCACTGCTGCCCACACCCCAAGTGAGCATCACAATGCTGTAGGCTGACCTAAGGGAGGGGCAGCAGACAGGTAGCCACTCTGTCTTAAAACGAAGTAAGGAAACTGATAGAAAGGAACTGGGAGAAAAACAAGAGGAATTGGCTCAGTAACTTGAGGTTCTAACCATTGCTCTTGAGAGCAACTTTACTTCATAGAATTTGAACTGCATAATTGGCTTCTCTTTGTTGGGAATGTGTTTTACTCTCAACTATGACACTGTATTATGACTCTGACATCTACACAGGCTATCCTTGCTGTCCCTGGAGCAGTATCCCTTCTCCTGTTTCCTTCTACCTCTTGTCCACCAGGCAGCCCCTTGAGCTTCAGGCTTCTCCTCTGGGCAGCCTTTCTGGATCCCCTTGGCAAAATTAAGCCCCTTCTCTCTTCTCTCCCAGTGTTCCTTATGCAGGACTCCACTGGGATGGGATTTTTGTGTTGCACACATGGTTAATTAACTAGGGAATATTACTCTCATCTTCAGATAAATGTTGGCTATAACAGGAATAACTGTGTTCCTTTATATTTTTCATAACAAGGGATATCCCTTTCAGAAAAGAGATAAGCATTCTTTTTTAACTTTCAAGTTAATAGTGGCACTGGTGGTGTTAAGAAAAGAAAGAAAGCCATTAACCTAGATCAAGAATAAAATTTACACCATGATTAGCTGTTATAGCTGTTTATTTGAAACATTAAAAAATTAAAACTTTAACACTGATAATGCAGTGAGAAAAATAATTTTGTTAATATGAATCTAAACTCTGTGTCCGTCTAACTCCATTTTTTTCCATTTAGACAACTACAATATTTTGTAATAGCTGATCCATTGTACAGTTTAATGTTACAACTTTTCAAACAACTGTTTTGTACTCAACTGATATTCAAGCAACTATTTTATAATCCAGTTTTTATAGCATTGGCTTCTTTGGAACATAGCAGTCCCACCATTGCAAACTAGATGAGACATGTGTATAGAATGTGATACAGGAGACTCTGATTTGGGGGTTGCAAATTTGTCCTTCACTAGAGTGTGATTTCCTTAAGTTCATTGACTTCTTTTCATCTCTCCTTACTGGGTCCACAGTGATAAACTGAATGAATGAATATATATATACATATATAGTATTACATTTTAATATTCCCCCATACTCCCTGAACTGTATACACACCTCTTAATAGGAGTTATAACATTGCAGATGTAACAATAACAAAAACGTGAGTGCAAAGTAAGTGTCTCTTGCCACAGTCATACCCCATCACCACCACACCCAAAAAATCATCTCTCTCATGTGGAGTTGTTCATTAGATTCTAACTTTTTGTTTTCATGTCAGGAATCCTCATCATGATGTCCATGTGCAGAGAGGTGCATGTGTATGAATACATCCCATCCGTGCGGCAGACGGAGCTGTGCCACTACCACGAGTTGTACTACGACGCAGCCTGCACCCTTGGGGCGTACCACCCGCTGCTCTATGAGAAGCTCCTGGTGCAGCGCCTGAACACAGGCACGCAGGGGGATTTGCATCGCAAGGGCAAGGTGGTTCTGCCGGGCTTCCAGGCCGTGCACTGCCCTGCACCCAGTCCAGTCATTCCACACTCTTAAAAAGGGTTACTTGGGAATCAATGTGCAATAAGGTACTACTGTTGTACTCAAAGTCACAGAAGAATACTTGAAGATAGATATTAGGCAATGTAGTTTTGAGTCTTTAAACTGTAATTTAGTGCTGTTCATGAGAATTCTTCTCTTTCTAAGCCATTGAGTATTTATTACCGCTTTGAATACAGAAATGGAATTTAAAAAAAAAATAAGGCTCAAAAAAGATGCAAAACAAAGGATAGCTGGGAAGAAAACACATGTATGGCCATGGGTATGATACCTCCAAAACTGTTAACAACTTTTTCTTCTGCAGTGAGTACCACTCATCAGGGTTGGTTTCAGTGATAGGTTTTGATGATGCTCCTGACCATATAAAGTGATTTATGTTTAGAAACATTCAAGTTGAGGTGCAGCATTTACAGCATCAAGTACATCACTCATACATGCATCCATCATTAAATATCCTAGGTTTTATGACAAATGTTGAAATGATCACTCAGATGTGTTTAATGGCAAAAATTCCCAGCTCATCCTGGCAAAGGCTTGTGTTTCCAACCATTGCATTCTTCATCTCTGCTTCTCATTGCCCACTGAATGCTTTGCTTTCTGTGCATCAAAACAGATTCTAAAACCAGAAAAAATCAATCTTGAAAGGACCAAGGAAAAGCCAAATTCCAAATAGCACCACGGAGGAGACCCTTTGTTTCCCTGCATTATTTCATAACTCAACCAGGAGCATTAGTATCACACCCTCCAGGAGGCACATCACTGGCAAGTAACACAGAATCACAGGCCGCAGGTGCCCCTGGACACTCCCCAGCTCTGGCTTTTCTGTCTTGCACCTCTCACCTGCAGATCTACCCCACAGCTTTTGCATAGTAAGTGACATACCTGACAATTGGCATAGCCCTGCTGGGGAAGACAGAGGACACCTTGCTCCTTCCAAACTAGAAGGAAGGATTTCGGAGCCATTGCTCTGTTCTTCTAGGGATGCACACCTGTCTTTATTATATGGGTTTGTGCAGGCTTTTATCAGCCTGCAGGAACTCAACAGTGATGATCGCTGAATCTTCACTAAATCTTCCTACAGATATTTAGGAATCCACTCCTTGCTTTCACAAATAGCAGCATGACAAAGCCATATAATTAAATAATTTATGTGAAAGCATTGCTCATTAAGAAGGAAAATATGTAGATGCTTCAGAGGGAAAGGCAGCTAGAGGGAAATTTTCATCACAATATATTAGCTATATTCAGGGTTGATTTTTTTTTAATTTCAACTGTCACTTACTTATACATTGAAATTTTTTTTGCTATGAATATAGTGAAGCAGAGTCATTTTGTAATACCTTAATTAAACATGCTATTATTTCAATGTATAACCAAAACATATCTCTGTGATAGCATTAAGATTTGTTGCAATGACAACAGCAGCTCAATTAAATGCGTTCTCCCTTGCAAAGTGTATGAATGTCAGGAGAGTTTAGTGGAAAAGTTTTCTTTGTTTCGGGATTGGTTTCTTCTAGACTGTTCTCAGGACTACTTTCTTGAGCAAGAATGGCTTACAGAGACTGACGGCTTATGCTTGGTTAGCCTATTCAGCACATCTGGAGCTGGATAACAAGACATCTCCTATAGCTTATTATAATAGTGAAGGAGAAATTGGAAAGTTTTAATCACAACAATATTCAATAAAAGCCCACTTTTAGAGCTTTGTTATTAAGTCTATGAGAAGGGATAGATAATCTTGTCTTATATATTACCTTATGTCTAAGTAGACATAGCTGAGCCATGTTCCTTTCTAATTTCTTGACAGAACTTGGTCTTGTCCTTATGTTTACATGCGTGTAATAAGTTCAGCGACTCTGGAATATGAGTGAGGTGGCTCTGATGGATGACTATTCCTCCTACAATCCTTGGATCTTTCTAAGTCTTCCCTGCCATTAAAATGCCCCTGGCCATTGAAGTTCCTTGTACAGTTTTGCAAGTGGTTTTGCTTGTAAGCATCCTTATTATCCAGCATAATGCCCCTTGGCTGACATGAGAACTTGGTTAGAGGAGAATTTATTGGGGTTGGTGTAAATATTGCAGTTCAAAAGCCTCAGAACCCCACACTTTAAGGATTTTTAAATAGCATTTTGTTATAATCATTGTGCTTTTAAAATAGTACTTTCAGTTTCATTGAGGTTACAAGAAGACTGAACAGTAAAGGAAATTTAATTATAATTTTTGCATTTATTGTGGCCTTAAAGACTCTTAGGAATCAGGGTCTGTTCAACAGTCAAAAATGCAATACACATATTAATATACTATTGACTGGGCATTCTTCTAGAAAAGTTTAAGTTGTTTAGCTCCTAAAAAAAAGTTAGGCCGTGATAGTTAATGTGATGACTACTTCTAATATAAGCCAAATGGGTCCTAAGTGGCAGTATTTTGCCAGACATTGACTAAATCCATACATGCCACATTGACTGAATTCCAATAAGCACACAGTTCTTCTGTGGAGTAGTTAACAGTAAGTGGCACCTCAATGAATTTCTCCCAGGTTCTGTCTCTTCCAACATCCTCCATCCTCTTTTGTGAAGGCAAGCTGATAAAAAATCCTCTTGGTGTAAGCTGAAGCTGTTAAGGATTCCTTTTTTCACTCTCAGGACCAACATACATTCTTTTGTATTTCAAGATAATTTCACCTGTTGTTGGTTGTTGTTGTTGTTGTTGTTGTTGTTGTTATCACAAAGAAACTAATTTTGACCAACAATGGCAATTCAACCACATCTAGATTCTCCCTAACTTATTTTTCCAGCTGGTCACACCAGGGAAGAGGGTAACCTTTAACATACCTGGTGTTCTCATGGAATACCAATGCTAGTCCAGGGAGCTGACCTTTCCCACTATGTCCTCATAGAGCTGCTCTTACAGAGAACTTGTGCTCAGGACCAAGAGATGGTCAATTAAAAGTTGCATGTACACGCATCAGCCTTGTGCATTAAAATGGGCTAGGGAGGGACTTTTACATTTTGAATTACCAGGTCTTTCCTTGTCTGCCTGAAGGCAGAGCTTTGAGAAACAGTACTTCCTGTGTCTGGTCCTCTTGGTCTTTCAGCCAGACACTTAATCCATCCTGGACTCTCCAGTAGTCCTCAGTCATTGTAGCCTTAGCATCTGCACCAGAAAGAAATGCTAAAATAATTGTCAGCATTTTCAAAATCAGGAAATCAAAGTAGCTGGGTCATTCTCTTACACGTGTATGAGCCAGTTCATTCTTCTGGGACAGACCGAACTTATGCTGCTGACTGACTCTTCTGAGCAGTAACACATCTCCTGAATTAATTAGGTAGGTCCCTTTTGGGTGCATTAATTGGGATCAACCTTAGATGAGCGCCAGTGTTTGACATAAGAATTTCATACGTATGAATGCCACAATTCAAGTTCTCTCTCCAGTTTTTTTTTAATAGATCAACATGCAGTACATGTGGTCAGTTACCTGGTTGAATTTCTGCTTAGCCGTGGTAAAAGACAGAGAAAGGGAGTGAGGTGGGACCAGGGGACTTATCAGAAAGACATGAGTGAATCTGTAGGCCAGGTAGCCTTTAAGTATGTTCTATTGTATTGTCTGTTTCGATTTCTGACTTTCTGATAGTTTAGAACTCTTACCCAGTGGTTAAGATCAGATGACTGATCAAGGCAGCTCCATCTAGAAATTAATTGCTAGGTAAAAATGTGCCTGAGTTTCAACTTGTCTTTTATACTCTGGATATTCTCATTGTGAGATTATTATACATGTTCCTGTCACTTGGGCATTATTTACACACTTGATAAATGAAAGCTATTTCTCTGTCAGTTCAGGGAAATAAAATGTAAGTTCTTGTTCTATTAGATGAATGAAACCTTTTGGTTAAAAAAAAATCCAACATATACCTGTTCAAGCTTGAGCTAATTGAATTTGAAGAATTAAAGACATTGATCCAGTTCTTAGTATAAAAATTATACATGTAGATATAGTTATATAATTGTGTATATACATATCTACACACATGGTTGGTTTTATATTGCTCTTTTCATCAATATTTTTGACTGAAACCTTTAAAATAAATTTTATTTTAATTATACATCCACTTTTTAAGAGAAGGAAGCAAATGTTAAATGTCCTTCTGTTAAAAAAAAAAATTCAGTCCTCCACCAACCCCTTCCCACACACTCATACTCTGCACATCTTGGCTATGTTAAAATGGTCTGATAGAATTATTTAAAAGGCACTATGAAGGTAGAACACTACCTTAATATTGTATCCTAGTCAGAAGCCTGATTTCACACTGAACTTTGAATGGAAGCTTGTCTATAGCTCATGGCTTTCAAAGATTGGAAGAAACATTTACTGGTTCTATGGAAAATAATCTTCTTGTTAGGTAGATTTCAAAAAAAGAAATTGCATTGGTGGTGTTAAAATCTAACATTTATAACAAATCCTGTTTTACTCTAGAGGAAATACTTAGGCAATTCTTCCGGTGGAAACCAGTAAACTTTTTTAATACTTATGGAAATTCTTTTGTATGATAATTTTTAAAATGAAATGTGTACTCTTCAAACTAATTAAGGCTTGAAGTTTTCCAGGAGTCACATTTTAAAAGTGTTTGTACACATTTTAACACTTTGATATTTTCTATTTTGGTTTTGTATATTTTTATGTATACACAATGTACAGACTTTTTTCTTGTAAATAAAACATGTTTTCATTTGTCTAGAAGTTTCTTGTTTTAATTCATAGAAGTTACACATACAAATTAGCAAGTGATAAAATAACAATTCATCCCTAGGAAAACAAATGGCAAAGCCGAAATCTAATTATAAGACTGAGTGGCAACAGAAGGAACAGCAGCAGGCCTTCAGCCTTGAATATGGACGCAGCCTGGGCCTGAAACCAGAGGTGGGGGGCGGGGGGGTTCTTGCTGGGATTAACTTCCACAGGCAGGAGAATGAAAGTGGTGAAATCAAGTGGAAAAGGCATATTTAGGGTAACAAATCTTGATGTTGATTTAATAACCCAGCGTTTTGATGAATGCGTGGCTTTGGGAGACTCTTCCTCAGCTTGGCAGGGCATTATGTCTTGGAAAACATAAATAAGTTATTAGAGGAAAACCTAAAGACAGCTGAGTCACCTACAACCCACCACAATGTCAAATTAGCCTTGGTATTTTCATACTTGTGACGCGAAGGGAAAATCAGTTAATTAGTCTCCTAGAAAGAAATTGTCGGTCATTTGTGCTTTCTGTTTAGAATGTGAGGAAATCCTCAAATCAAGGAAGTCTTTGGGGTTTTTGATGTGAGGACAACATGAGCAGGTAAGAAATTCAGAGTCGTCTATCACCTCAAACAGCAGTGCTGAATCAGAGAGGACTCCCATCACCTTTGTGCTGTTGTCGTATTTCTTTCCCCACAGGATGACTGCTTTCTTCCAGGTAATTAAAAATTAGACATGCCTGTGCCAGCCCTGATTGGGAAGGACTGGGGTAGATCACTGGAAGGATACTGTTCCATGCTCCTGAAGCAGCCAGGCATGCGCAAACCCCAGTAACTCTGAGGGGCACACACAGGAGACTTGGTGTCCGTTAGCACTAGATGCTGCTGGGAGGATTCAGAGGAAGAGAAAGGAATTGTATAAGACAAGTTACACTCAAAGAGAGAGAGCTGGAGCTAGGGGAAGGAGGTCAAGTTAACAGCAGGTTAGGGAAAGAAGGCTAAAGTGAGAGGACGTGAAAAGTGAGTCCAGGGGTCCCAGATGCCATTTGCAAAATCATCAGCTCAGAAACAGAACTACCTTGCAACCAAAGGCATACCCAGTCAACCCCACTGAATGCACTGATGTGCTGTGTTCAAGAGCCCCTGGTGCACACAATGTGGTAGGGAGAAGGCTCTCCTGCATTAGATCTCTGCAAGCTCCTCATTGACTAGAGCAGGAACTGGCCCACAGCCTACTTTTTTAAATAAAGTTTTATTGGAACACAGCCATGCTTATTCATTCACATGTCTGTATAGTTGCTTTCACTCTACAAGGGCAGAGCTGAATAGTTGCAACAGAGACCTTGTAGCCACCATGCCTACCTTGCCCTTTACAGAAACATTTTGCTGACCCCTGATCATGAATACAATCTGTGGAAAACTCTTTAGGCTGGTCTTGTGGTAGATAATGTGCATGTAATCTTCACAAGCCCAGGAAAGTTGAAGTCAGAGAGGTTAGGTCTCACCCTATGACACACAGCCAAGAAATGACAGAGCGAGGCATGCAATCTAATCTTTGAATGGCTTCAAAGCCTTTGGCCGGGAGTATTGTGCTAGTCTTCTAACAGCAGTCTCACCCTAGGATGCTGCCCTAATACTCAAAATTTCTACAGAGGATCATTGCACTTTGAATATTGTGAGAAACTATGCTTTGAAATTTACAGAGACTAACACTGGACTTTTCCAGAGGATTTTCCAGTCCTCTAAATCCCTAGAGCCCTGGAATCTTTCTGAACTGCATGTGTCAGTCAAGTACAATTTTTATTTTGTTATAAGAAGGCAGCCTCTCTGATTGTCACAGTCCAATCAATATAAAGAGTGCCGCTGATGTGGCGTAGAGAAAGGAGGCAGGAAAGATTGACATTCCACAAGCTCTGTGCCCAGCCACCTCCTAGCTCAATTGTATCATGCTGGAGAAACAAGCTGTACTTAAGAATGAGGCACCCCTGAGAAACTGATCAGAAAAGTCAAAGCAAAAGAAAAAATCAATGGCTTTGGAAAATCAATGACTCTTGTCATTGCTGGCTTATTATCCCAAGGATGGAAAAAAGTTGGGGGTGGGGGGCATAGAAACAGCAACATATCCTTTACTTTTTAAAACAATGCTGGCATGAATAGGCTAAAAAGGGTTTGAGAGCCCACGAGGGTGCTAGAAAACACAGCCAGGGGCCTCGGCCACCCACATGAGCCCTACTTCCTCTACTTGAGGAAGAGCCAGCCGTGACGGTGACTCACAGAACTCATTTTTAGAAATATTGTGCAAGCAATTGCATTCTCAGAAGACTCTTTCCTAAAAACTACATAGTAGGTATGGTGAGAAATATTTTTCCTTAAATAAATTTATTTCTTACCTCGAATCCCGTTTTCAATGCAAGGTAAAAATTACCCTATTTAATCTAATCTAAGACATCACTAAGTATAAAATGCACCATTCTTTTGTGCCCCAGTACAAAGAAAAATGTAATCAAACCAGAACATGAGTCTCCTGTCCCACTTAGGTGTGCACTGTGAAGCCAGTAGCCATGAGCCGCATGTGAATTTGGCATAGTTGAAATGTGGCCAGTCCTGAATTAACGGGTGAAGCAGAAAATACAGGCTGGACTTCCAAGACTTAATATGAAAGGTGAATGTAAAATACCTCAATAACTTTGTTATACTGATTACATGTTGAACTGATATTTTCAATATAGTTCTCAAATAAAAGCATGTTACTAAGAATAATTTGACCTTGCTTTTAATATATTTGAACATGCTTACCAGAAGATTTAAAATTGTCTGTGCTCACATTATATTTCCAGTAAACAATAGTAACTTCAAACTTCTATATTTGTTGAAAAAGCTTTTTAGACTTATTGAGGTATAGGTTTTTCATTACATATCACCAGGAGATATAAAGGAAAGTACAACATGTGTGAAACTGATCAGTTAAATTATTCTTAAAATATTTATACTTACAGTAGTTCTAGTCTGAATCACTTTTTGAATGAGTCATTAATTTCTATGATTTTTTCCTATTTTTTAAATTATACTTTAAGTTCTGGGGTAAATGTGCAGATCTTGCAGGGTTGCTACATAGATATACACATGCCACGGTGGTTTACTGCCTCCATCCGCCCCCCATCACCTACCTTAGGTATTTCTCCCATTGTTATCCCTCCCCAATCTCCCCATCCCCGCTACCCCTTCCCTAGTCCTCACCCCCCTACAGACCCCAGTGTGTTATGTTCTCCTCCTTGTGTCCACGTGTTTTCTTTTTTTTTTTTTTTTGGTATTAAAAAAGGACTAAACTTTATTGACAAACTACTGCAGACATTTTGACATAAGTTTAAGCTACCTATTTAGGCAGACTTACACATGTAGCATTTAATCTTCTGAGAACAAAAATGGACTTTAACTTATGTACAAAGTGGATTTTGATTCCTTTTTCATTCAGCTGCAGTGTCCCTTTTTATATCATGCTAGTGTTGAGACATACTTGACTGACTATCTTGGGAACAGTTCAATATTGACAACCGTCAACTTAAGAAAATCATCAGCTTTTGGCCCCAGCGTCCAAGTGAGTTTTTCATGGAGTGCAGAATCTCAAATGGACAAAATACTTAGTCTTTTTAAATACTGAAATTTTAATTATTAGTACTGTGACTGAAAGATTCTTCATGGCTAAAAAGCTCTGCATGGAACTCAATTCAGGAGGCCTACCTTCCCACCACCGTCAACCTCTTCAAAACCTACTCCCACCCCTAAGTATCTCTCAACACAGTATGTCTGGGGCTAGATTTCAAAACCCACATAATGAAAAAGTCAGTTTTACAAGCCTAATTTTGTTGTTGTTGTTTTATATCAATTAACATTAAAAATTGCATCAACTATTTAATTCATGAGGATCTTTCATATTAAAATTTAACCTTAAGATTCAACCGCCATGTGCTTTTATAAAGGAAACATTTTTTTAGAGACGTCTGAGTTCACTTTTACATGGTAATGCCTACTGCCATTACCGTTTGTGATTTTAAATCTTAAACAGCCCTGAATTTTAAAATGTAGCCTAGTTCGGGATTCTGCAACTACAACTTTACGGGATGCCTCAAATCAAAACTAAGAGAAAGTTAACAAGCCTTTACTTCAGAACCTTTAAGCAAGCAATGTCACTTTTGAAACTAACAGATTTTGTGTGTGCTTTTTTACTCAACTTCTTGTTTTTATTATAAAAGGTACACTTCTGTTTATATTTAAACAACAAAGAAAATAGAAAAATAATTCAATATTCCTAAATCTATTTTAACTCATTTAAAAATACTACATACCGTAGCCAGAATGCAGAGTTAAGAATGGAATAAGGTGGGGAGAAGAAGGGGATCACAAAGAAAAACACTTAGACAATTACTTGTCTGTTGTGGGTAAAGCAACAGGAATCCTGGGAAATACAAGAAATCAGTAACAACTTTGCTCATAATTGATATTTTACCCTCACGTTTGTTTTTAATAATGTCCATATGGGTGCTCTCTGTATGCTCCCTTCATGGGCCTACCTGGAAGGGCCTTCAGTGATGGCCTGGTCCCATTCCAGTCGTCCTGGCCATAAGCTTCATGAGAATCTTGAACCTCCCCATGTCCATAGTCATAATATTCTGAGTCCCCTTGACTCTGGCTGTAAGAGCCTTCATAGCCTTTGTAACTTTGTTCTGCATATGTATCATCATATGCATATTCTTCATATGTTTCTGGTGCAGGAGGTGGAGGCAAAGGTATCCTCTGGATGCCCGCTGTCCATGCTCTTGGTGCTGGAGCACCCCTCACAGTAGGTGGGGGTGGCACGCCTCGAGTCACAGTGGTACCTCTGGTAATGGCTCCCCTCACTGGTGTACCACGTACCAAAGCCCCATAAGGTGGTCCAACACCACGGCCCCTGGGAATAGGTGGTGGAGGAGGTGCAGCTCCCCGGCCTCTCACTGGCATCCCACGTCCAGG